GGTACATCAGTAGATTGGTGATGATTGATGAACCTCCCATAATCTAGCTAGCTGAACAACATTTTCTTTAGCAAGCATTAATTTTCTTCCCAATAGCTGTAGAAATAAGTGCCAGGTTTTCTTACATAAATTTTGTGCTGGTTACAGGAGCCAAATTTCCATCAGGTACAAACATAGATTACAAGCATCTGTTCATGTGATTACAAATTTGATATAAAGCAGCTTTTTTCATTCTGTAAGCAAGTCTTAGAGAGGCTCCGCAGAATGCCAGAACTTTGCTTTTTTATCTGGTGCAGCTGTTGCATGTCACTTATATTAAGAAATGAGATGTTAAAGTCATCAAATGTTTAATACTGAAGTTTAAATTTCAGCAGCTTAAATGAAAAAGGTTTGAGGCTATTTAATATTGCTCACTTTAACTCAAGCATCACAGATTCTTGTGCTAAATTTGCACAATATGCTTAACTTGTTATTAAATTAACCACTTGTTGGGTTGGTACAATATACCAAATAATATAAATAACCAAAGTGCAAATTCCATTTGCACGCCATTCTAACCCCCACTCCCCAAATAATAAATATTAAATCTGTAGCAATTTGTGCTAATACACCTACTATGTCTCAGTCAAATCAAATCAAATGTGTTTGATGAACAGTCAACTTCTGGGTATAAAAATAATGCACAAGACCACAATATTTGCACAAGACCACAATATTTCTCTTTTTAAAAATACTGAAATGTGTCAGTTTTCAGACCCAGTTAAATAGAAGCACATGGCAAATATGAATTGATCTCAGAAAGTTAGCAGGATCAAACCTGTTTAATACACAGATGGGAGAACATGGGATAATTCTAGGGCTGTAGATTTGACTAGGAAGTGGTACATACAGGACAAAAGCAGTAGAAAACCAATATTTTCATGTGGCCAGAAAGACTACATGCTGGTAAATGTTTAACTGGTTGTTTAGGATTCATTGCCATGCCATGTCTCTAGCCATTACGTTGATTGCCACACCAGCTGTTTTGGTTCTGCCAGTTCACAAAGTTCCAGAAAAATCTAACAATCTTATAAACTGGTACGATTCAAATGAGGCTTCACCTTTTAGTAATTCTTAGATTTCCTTAACAGTTTGGCTTCAAGGAACATTGATGCCAGATTCCAGCCAGACTGACAGTTGAACTCATTCAAGGACAGGTATCTGATAAGATATTTGTACTGTAAATATTAGAAATAAATGTTTAATAGTAAAGAAAACCAGCTACCAGCTAAGGGCTGTGGTGGTGCAGTGGTTATCCTGCAGTACTGCAGGATAACTCACTGCTCACTCCAGGAGTTCAATTCTGAGTGGCTCAAAGTTGACTCAGCGTTCAAGGTCATTAAAATGAAGACCCAGATTGTTGGGGGCAATATGCTGACTCTGTAAACTGCTTAGAGAGGTCTGTAAAGCACTGGGAAGTGGTATATAAGTCCAAGTGCTATTGCTATTGCTATTGGTACTGCAAACTCTACAGTTCAAGTACAAATGGCAATCTCTGGGTTCAAATTCTATATTATATTGAACCGAGAGCCAATTATTTCATAGCAGAAGTGAATGATATTGGGATTATTATTATGGGTTTCAATTTAATGGTTTACATTATATTTAATATTTCATTATTGTAATTTTGACTGGTTGTGCTAAATTCAAAGTAGTAGATAGCGTACATATTGAAAGAAAAGAAACATATTGCACGTAGACTTTTTAAGCTTGCATTGAATATGTTGCTCTAGAGGTGAAGAATTCTGTTATCCCTATGGATTGCTCAGTATATGTCTCAATACCTGAAATCCCCATTACTTTTAACTGGGTGAGATGGTGTACATAGGGCAACAATTTTTTGAACCAAGGTATCACAACTGGACTGACTTACAGAATGCATCCAAATTCAGGACCCATGACTCCCATGGAATTGAAATTTGGTCAATTTTATAAAGCATTTTATGATACAAAACTTACCATAAAACAGTTTATGACATTGTACAAAATATTGTAAAACATTTGTACTGATATTTGACTCTGCCATACCATTCACCTCTGCCATGGTGCAGGAGGCTGACTAGGCCACGCCCACCATGGCCACATCTACCCAGCCACCCGGCAGAGAACCCTTTGCTAAAAAAAAAATTAACCCCACCCCTGCTATGATGTCATCCTTAGCTAGAACTGCAAGATGAGGAATCAAACTGGCTGTGGATTGCTGGAGCTATTGTTACATTAAATAATGAAAAACACGTGCCTTCCTTCTGGCCAGTTTTTTAATTAAGACCAAGGACACCATGTTTCAACCACAACAATTAATCTGAAATTCTCTTTCACTCAACTGAATTAGAACTAGCAGAAGAAGACAAAAACAATTAAGGGAATATTTCTTTGCCAAGCGCTAATCCCAACAATACACACCATCGTTTTTTTCTCTCTTTCTGAGAAATAAGTCTTTTTATACAGTCCTTGAGACAGCTGAACAACATTACTTAAGCACTGCAAAGAGATGCCCTGCTTTCTCCTGCACCCCACTTCCCCTCCAAACGCCAGTCAAGAAGGATGAGACAAGAAAAGAAACCCTTCACAGACTGATTTTCTTACCTTGCTTAAAGTCAAATCAAGCTTGTCTGATATGATTTTTTTTTTCCTGGTGCCTTGCTGAAACGTCTAACACCTCAATTACTAAATGACTTTTAAATGTTTCTGAGCTCTTTATTTAAATAAATGTTTTAGTTAAACTGTTTGGAGTCAGGAGTATTACTTATTCATAGCTGTTGGCATGAATGCTATTTAGTTGCAGATGTTTGCTCCATTAATGAGTTTGCAGGAATATTTTCTCCACAGCAAACCAAAGGGAGCAATGGAAAGGGGCATTGGAAAGAAGACTCTGAGAACAGGTGCAGTTGAGACATACATTAGTAAAATAAAGGAAGCCTAGAATTTCTGTTCTGCTCAAGCTAACCTCAATTGCATTCTCAATAACAGGATTGAGAAAGTAAATTTTACCCTATTAAGGTGGAGAAAATGGGAATGGAACAAGCTAATGTTGCTGTCTTTGGAAGCCTCCTAAAACCCCACATTAGTCTGAATTTGTAACTAGCAGCCGTTGCTAGAACTAAGCTGTCCCCTTAGACTACCAAAATGTTGGGCAATTCTCAGTTGAAATCTAGCTTGCAAATTCTCAAAAGTATTTCTTCTGCTTTGTTATATTGTTCTCAGGGTGTTTTAAGAATTTTGTCTGAATTTCTCGTGAAGTTGCAGCACAAGTTGCAGTGCATTTCGGGCCAAAGGTGGAACTAGGTTATTTCTTAGTGGAAGAGATGGAAGGTGCTACTATTGGGGTTGATTTGGCTTAAGCATCCTTCCTGTTTACTAGTCTGGAAAAAGAAAACCCAGCAACAAGAGCTCTTTTTGAAATAGAGAAAGATTCAGTTCAAATGTCCATTCAGAGGAGGAGGAGGAGAATAGATAAATAGATAATTAGATAGATTTAAACATAGAATTAAATTGTCTAGTTCTAGATTTAGCAGAATTTGGAATGGTTGTTTCTGAAGTTTATTTTAATTACCATTCCTTTCTTCTTCATTTTGATGATGTCTTGGGATTGTATGAGCCCCTCTGAATTTCTGTCATAAAGGTGGAGTGGGTTTTAAACAAATCAGGTGTTATTGTCTATCACTGCTTTACATTAACAATCCCATATATGTCTGTGACAATGTATTCAGTGGGACATACTGCCTGCTAAATTCGAATAGGCAAAATAATGTATAGATAAATGTTTTTGTATCTCTAATAGTTGCTCATTATTGTGCAAAATAGCCACTGGTTCTTTATCACAGACAGGCTTTCTCCAGAGTATGTAACAAAACGTCACTTCATATAATGAAAGCAATGCCTCTTGTATTTAAGGTAAATAAATATCAAAACCGTTTTATACTTATGCAGATTTATTCAGTGTCTGAAACTCCTTAAGATAGCTGGCTTTCTGTTGGTGTTCATGTGTTTTTGTTTTGATAAGGCCAGTTCAGAATGAGTGCATTCCTGGATTCCATGTATTATAGTACCTTTATGTGCATAATGATTTTGTGTGCATAAACAATGCCCATGTGGTGAATGGGCACTTACGGAGGAACTGAGCTGCCATTTGAATCTTCAGATGTGACAGGAATCACAGAGCTTGAACAATGGAGACCACTGAATGCCAGTACTAGATAGCCCTGATCTTTGCTTTGCTGAACAATAAGTCCCACTGAATCCAACAGGGCTTGTTATTAAGTAATATTGGAAATGGGGGAAGAGACATGCAAAATGGAAAATGATTTATAGCGAGTCACAAACAAACAAACAAACAAACAAACAAATATTGTACAGATGTTGGCCAAACCATTTCTGGTGACCCACAGGTAAAAAAACCTGCCTTGTTGGGTTGAGCTGTATTAAGCAAAATCTGATGGGATTTGACAGGGCAAGAAGGGCAAAGTCTACCTTTCTTCCACATTTGTACAGCCTGGATATCAGCCCACATGTATTTTTAAAATAGACTTTATTTATTTATTTATTTTTTAAAAAGGTAGGGCACAGATCCAATTCCATACTTTCTGTAAACTGATAACGAGATACATAAATTCTTCCAATGTTATTGAATTTTTGTTAACAACAGACCATTCAAATAGATCAATGGTAGAATAATAGGAGCCACAATCCCAGATTTCCAAGTTGTCCATCCGTAGAATAAAGGATTTCAGGATCCTTCTTCCCAGAAGTTGATGCTGAGTTTTTCTAACATATTATTTTTTACATTATCTTTCTAGGTTTCTATTACAATTATTCTATTATAATTTTTTTTACGTATTTTTTATGTTAGGGTTGTTTACCTTTATGCTGCCTAGATTTCCTGTACCTGAGAGGAAGAATAAAAAAATATAATAAAATAAAACATTAAATTATTTCTCTAAATCACAGATTTTCTGCCACAGCAAAGAATGCAGCGGCTCTTTTGGATCCCAGCCCTGATTCACTCAAGGCAGTTTTGACATCAACTGTTCTCCCAGCTTTATTCTCAGTCTGCCAAGAAAGCTTGTGCCGTAATGGAGGAAGTTGCCACCAGATTAATCTTTCTGATGGCATGGCCTCATTTCGGTGTGACTGCGCTCTTCATTTCACTGGGCGTTTCTGTGAAAAAGGTAAATATTTCTCTTTTGGCACCCATTTTGGCTTAGAACAGTTTGTCACCTATTTTTCAGATTAACTCCTAAGATGTAGAACTTTATATATTATTATCTGTATTTATACATACATACATACAAACACACAAAACACTCGGTCAAAAATGTCTACAACATACTGGAAATTCACATGCTGTGCCTTCTGCTTCCAAAACAGAAAGCATCTCTAACAGAGAGAAAAGTATACAATATTATGTAAACATCATTATAGCATTTTATAAGATTTCTAAAAGACTTTGGAATATTTAATTTTTAATAGAGCTTGGCTCATTGTTCTTAATGCATGTCTGACAAAACTGTCCCTGCCTTACTTTGTTTACTATATCTTGTTCTATTACAGAATTTGTACATGAATGTGGGGGGACATTATGTGTGTCAGCATGAAAAGTAAATATGTTATTTGTTTGTTATGTTGGAAGTGTCTGTCTCTTTTTTGAATCTCATTAAGAAGTACACATGGGATAAATGTGACTGCTTAACAATTTTGACCTAAGTGTTTGCCTTATAGTCATATACTATATCATTGAGTTGGAAAAAAACTGTTATAGAGCAAGCAGTATTGCCTGAGAAATTAGAAAGTAGTTGGGGAACATTTTTTTTATTCTTATGATATCTTGGGATTGAAGGCTTCAGCATCTCTGTTTAGGAACTAACAGAAAATATTGATTGGTTGATTGATTTCCTCCTTTATTATTATGAGAAATGAATCAAGAAGGCTATTGTATCTACTACTATGTCCTCCTCCTACTTTTTGGTATTATCCCCATAGTAACAATCCTGTGATGTGAGTTGGGCTGATTGAGAGTGACTGGCCCAAAGTCATCCAGTCAGCTTTCATGTCTAAGGGGGCATATTTCAAATAACAAGACTGAAGCCATGAGAAGACTCTCTTTTCCCTACTTTCTTTTGTAAAATTGATGGATTGTCCCAATGCTGCTCCACTACTAATGATTATTTTATTTCCCATAACACAGTTGTAATTTAAAGAGGTGGGCAATGGAGAAAATAGACAAGGTTTCAATTGGTTTCATAGGTACATTATTGTTGAAACTTTCTAGGCAGAGAGATGGAGACAGAGATGATGATTGATAGATGACAGGTGATAGTTGAGAGGAGTGAGGGGGTGAGGGAGAAAGATGAGAGATAGATAGATGGGTGGATGGATGGATGGATGGATGGATGGATGGATGGATGGATGGATGGACGGATGGATAGATGGATAGATGGATAGATGGATAGGATCAAGATTAGAACTTTCTATATCAATAAACTGTTTCCATTATAACTAAGGAGACACTTATGGAAAACCCAGAAGCAGAACTTGTATGCAGAAACTTTCTCCCCTTCTGGTTCTCCAATAACTTTCCTTCATCCACTTCATGAAAAACAATTTGCTTAACAAATTATTTCCAAGGAAAAGGCAAGGATTGTAAGGAGAATTCCAAGGATATTGCCATGAGTGTATGACAGTCTTGCATCTTTATTATGAGGCCAAGGATACATGTAAAGGTTCCACACTTTACTGTCCAATAATGTTTTCTGTGGCTTTGAACTTTCCTGGTTGCCCCTTCTTCCATTACAGCCCAAGGCAAGAAATTGTAGGAAAACTTCTTTCACTGGCTTTTTATTATCACTGTTTCTGTCATAAATAAAGGAGACAACTACTCTTAAAAAATTATTGGAGAATTTCTCCTTCTCAAGGCAAATTCAGAGCATTTTTCTATATAGTTCTATTGTCCACAATGTCGTGTCCAGCTCCAATACAGAATACCACCTTCCGACACACTCTGTGTGTGCTTGTGCACGCATGCATATCTATCTCTATATCTATCTATCTATCATCTATCTATCTCTATCTATATGTGTATCTGTATCTATCTATATCTATGGGAGAAGCAGTTTTATCTCTTTAATCCTTGTTTCTTATCTTTCAGGGAAAGAAAATGCTACATCTTGCAATAATTTTGAGATGATTATGATGGGGTGGGGGTCAAAAATCCACTCATGATTTAAAGCATGTATCAGTCTCTCCTTGCTAGTATTTAAATGGTTACATGGTTAAACATGACATTTCCAATGGTATGAAGTAAAATTACTTAAGTTTTCTGATTGAGTTATCATGAGAAAACAGGATTTAACAACTTTGGAACTTAAAACAAATGATATTCTCACTTATCTCTTTGGAAGATGCAAATCCTCTAAACCAAACCCGTCAATATCTATTATTTTCTGTATATTCAGTTGTAACTATTTTATCCACTTAATTCCCATAAACTTGAATTTCTTCGACATGTTTGGTGCTTCAATTAAATGACTCTGAGCAGCAAAAATACCTTCCCTTTATTGATGCTGGATGATATCCATTACAATTATGGAGAATTACTAGTGTGTAGCAAAATGAAAGAGTATCCATATTATAATTAAACTCTAATACCCTTCTAATAGACTTTCTATTGTATGAAATAAGGACATGGCAACCAGAGCCAAAAATGTACTTGCCAGATTGTCAATATATCTGAAACTAATAGAAACCAAGCTGGCAAAGAGGACTGAAAGTAGGTCATTATATTGTATGTGAATCCAATAAATGACTGAGCTAGAAATGATCGGTCCCACTTAATGAGGCCTCAGCTTTCAGAAAGTATTAATTTTTAAAATCCCTTTCCCATGTTTGTGATAGATTAATAGCATTTCTGTATTTCAAATTGCAGTGGGGGAAGAACCAATCTGTGGGATTGCATTTTATGCAATGGTGTAACAAGTACATGTATGTTAGTCAGGGACGTGTGCCAGAGAATAGAAAGGGGCATTCAAGATGTGGTCATAACTAGCTTTTCTTGAGAAACTAGATTTTGAAAAGCAACTAAGAGTTTCAATTCCCTATTTCTGAAGTGTCCAGACAAAAATATTCTTGTTACAAATATGTCTTGTCTAGATTCTTCTCCCCGTAGGGAATTGATTCCCTAAACGCCCCTAAAGGAATTAATTTATTAAACTTCAGAAAGTCATAGCACTAAACTGGACTGTGTTTATTTGATTGATGCTGGACTATACGGTAAAGTGTAAAGATGATGATCTTGACAGGTCATTTGTGTTTAACTGCTCACCACTACATTGTGCATAGGTACAATGCCTTGACAAAGAGAACGAAGAACAAAAAAAGAAGTATTATGTCCAAATGATGGGGGAGAATTATAAAATCATTTCAGGTAGACACTCCCACTGGAATATAAAAGAAGAGGGGAAGCCCTATCAGACTTGTAAGATTATGATACTATAGCCAATAAAGGAGAATATTTGTACCTCAGGGTTGAAATGAGCGGTCCTTGGTGGTCTCTGAGTTTGCTTGTTTTTTTGCAGATGTTGCCCTACCCCATGGGTGTCAAACTGGCAGCCCGTGGGTCAGATGTGTCACTTGCAGGCCATGTCCACTCTAGCTCTGGGAAGGGAAAAAATGTTGCACTACATCACATGACGGCAATGTGTCTCCACAAGTTTGACACCCATGCACTACCCTAACTAGGTAACATCATCAGTGCTAGATCACAGTACTAGGTAACATGATCTAGTACTGATGATGTTACCTAGTTAGGGTAATGAAACATCTGCAAGAAAACAAGCAACCTTAAGAGAGCACCAAGGACCCCTCACTATAGTCAATCTGTAAAGTATTTTTTAGTTTTCTGTGAAACCTCTTTTTTTAAATCTGATCTGCCTGGTAGGTTGATAAAACTAGGAACCTCTTCTGAAATTTGTTTAATGTCCCCAAACCCCTCGGTGCACATTTCAGTCCTATTGTATGGGAACCTCTTCCTTTGCTGCTGCTTCTTGAGTGATCATATGATGATGCAATATCACATATGACAATATGGAGCTTCCAGCTTTGGGTTACAAAACCCCAGATAATCGCCAGAAGCCACAGAAAGAGAAAGGAATATCTAAATTTGGATATTTGCTGGTCATTTGGATTTTTCCACTCCCCAAATTCCATCCAGTTTTGTGAATGTTTCTTCTGAGAAAAAAAAAATCTAGAAAATTAGGACGCTAGATCTGAAAATCACCTGCTGATTTGGACAGTAGAATGACCTGGATTTTGAACAATCTTCACATTCTAAATATGCTGTATGTACCCACCGTCTATGGTTTATGGCTACAGTATCAATTGTAGTTTAATTTAAAATATGGTTAAAGAAACAGTGACTTAGCAGAACATGCGAGTCAGGTCATATTGTGGTTTTCCTTAAGTGAGCAGTTTCTCACACCACAATCATTCAAATAGATCAATCACTTTGCATACTTTTTGTGGCTTAAGTATCTTCTTAGGGACCAACTGACTTTTGTAATCTATTGGCTTCAACCAGTAGCCACTAAGATTATGGAGCTTCTTCCTCAGAGGCTTCAGAAAATTTTGGAAAGAAAAACAAAGTCCAGATTGTTAACAATTTCAGATATTTATAAGAGATGAAACAGTTTAGGAATTATACGAAGAATCTAATTATGATTTCTGTAATTGGGCAAATTTAGAATGAACTCCCATAATCTCAAACCCTATAATTCTCTTATTAGTTGGGGAATACAAGAATTATCTCCAACTTGCTGGGCACCAAGTTAGAAAAAGCTGGCTGTAATATAGCAGTCTTCATTCTTCTTTGGCTTCCTTTTAGAAAGTAAAACATGGTTTCATTTCAAATTTACTTTTGAGACTATAGGAAACACATTCCTTTTATTTCTCTCCTTTCAAAAAGGCCATCTTGGCACTTTTCAACTTACCAGAAAACTTATCATTGCTAATTAGGAATGGACACTTGGGATATATGTATAAAAATATTTCCACTTTTACAATGGGAATTGGAAAACCTAATTCACTTAATAACCTCCTTCTGCTCATCAGAGTTAAATGATTTGGAAATAAATATTATCCTTGGCTTTCTGTTTATTGTTTTACATGCTGTAACAGC